CTTCGTTGGATAAGTTGGTGAAGTTGAGTAAATATGAGGATGATAAAAAGCGTGAGAATTGGAAGAACAATTTCAGATACAGCGTTAGAAACCCGTATGTTAAAACCGATGAAGATTTGGATTTATTGACTGATAAGGGTATTTATCCCTATGACTACTTTGATGATTTTGAAAGATTTAAGGAAAGGGCTTTACCACCGAAAGAAGCGTTTTACAGTAAATTGAGTGAAGAACATGTAAGTGATAAAGATTATGAAAGGGCACTGAAAGTATGGAAGCACTTCGGGATTAGAACACTCGGGCAGTATCACGACTTGTATTTAAGAACTGATGTTTTACTACTGACCGATGTATTTGAAAACTTTAGAGACTTGTGTATGGAATACTACGGTTTAGACCCCGCTCATTATTATACGCTACCAAATTTCGCATGGGACGCGATGCTTCTAAAAACTGGTGTTGAAATAGAACAATTGCATGACCAAGAAATGTTTGAGTTGGTTGAAAAGGGAATGAGAGGAGGAATGTGTCAGGTAAGTCATAAATTAGCAGTGGCAAATAATAAGTACATGGGGGAAGCATATGATGAGAACAAGCCATCAAATTATATTAGTTACTTGGATGCTAATAACTTGTATGGCTTAGCAATGTCCCAGAAGTTACCGCTAAAAAATATCAAGTGGACAAAGAAAACGCCCAGTGTTGAAAAATGGAATGAAAGCGATGAGTTCGGTTATATTATGGAAGTTGATTTGGAATATCCCGAAACATTGCATGATTTCCACTCCGACTATCCACTAGCGCCTGAAATAATGAATGTAAATGTGAATATGCTTTCCGACTATCAAAAGCAAGTCTTCAAAATATATTATGATGGTAAAAGTCCCAAGGACGAGAAAACAAGTAAGTTAATATTAAATCTAAAGGATAAAGAAAAATATGTGGTTCATATCAAGACTTTACAGTATTATTTGAAAATGGGAATGAAAATGGGTAAAGTCCATAGGATAATAAAGTTTCAACAGAGGGCATGGTTGAAACCGTGGATTGACTTCAACACTGGTAAAAGGAAAGAAGCCAAAAGCGATTTTGAGAAAGATTTATTCAAATTAATGAATAACGCGGTGTACGGAAAAACTATGGAAGACAAACGAAACCATATGGATTTTGAATTAGTTGATAATGAGGTAAGATATGAAAAATGCGTGAATAATCCAACATTCAAAAACAGATTTATTATAAATGAAAATCTGGTAGGAGTTGAAAAAACTAAAGCGAAGCTGAAATTGGATAAGCCGATTTTCCTGGGAATGAGCATTTTAGATTTAAGCAAATTACATATGTATCAGTTTTACTATGATGTATTGAAAAAGAAGTATAATGAAAACATAAAACTGGTTTATACCGATACTGACAGTTATGTAATTCAAACAATGACTGATGATGTCTATAAGGATTTCAATGATATAAAGCAACACATGGATTTTAGCGACTATCCTGTTGAGCATCCATGTCATGACAAAACTAATAAGAAGGTCTTAGGAATGTTTAAGGACGAATGCTCTTCAAAGATAATTACCAAATTCATAGCTCTCAAACCAAAGTCATATGCTTTTACAATACACGGTGAGGATGATGAGCATAAAAAGTCAAAAGGTGTAGTAAAACACAAGGTGAAAAAAGAACTGTCATATCAAAACTATCATGAAGCATTATTTCAATACAAAAAGCATGAAATAACATATAATTTTATTCGAAGTCGAAACCATCAGTTATTCTCAATGTCTCAAGTTAAGCAATCTCTGAGTAATTTTGAAAATAAAAGGTTTTATATTGATGCTTTCACTTCATTACCATATGGGCATTATTCCATAAAATAATTATCTAAATAGTTCTAATAATATGAAATTATTAGAATTACTTTCTCCATAATCTTTACCAAATATAGTTAAAGAATACATTGTATCTTATAATAATCAAGACTATGGAAAACATAGAAGCAGAAATCACCAAGGGTCAAATCTATGTCATCAAAAACACATTGAACAACAAAATATACATTGGAAGCACTAAACAAACACTACACAAACGGATGGCAAAGCATAGGCATGATGCTAAACATTGTGGAAACATGCTGATACATCAAGAAATGAGCAGACTTGGTATAGACAATTTCTTCATTGAGCATTTGGAAAATTTTACGAAAAAGAGAAGGTGATATAATAGCTGAACAGCAGGCAGAACTAAATGAAAGAAAGGCAGGAAGAAACACACAAGAATATTACATAGATAAAAAGGACTTGTTCAAACAGCGATATTTCAAAAATATTGATACAATAAAAGCACGCGACAAAGAACGCTATGAAAGAGACAAAGACAAAATCAATCAACGAAAGAAGAAACATCGTGAAACACATATAGAGACATACAAAGAAAGAGACAAACAGTATTACTACGAGAACAAAGACAAGCGACTACAAAACCACAAAGCGTATGTTGAAGCAAACCCAGAGAAAATGAAAGATTACTATCACCAGTATTACCTAAAAAACCGTGAAAAGAAACAGGAATACAATAGACTACGCTACAACCAACTGAAGCTGGAGAAGGAAGCGAACAAGGCTTTGGACTAACATTGAAACATGGAAACCCAGACCATTATGTAACAGGGATTGTGGGAAAATTAGGAATGGGAAACATTTAGAAACTGCTCAACGGTTGCCATCGGGTACAAAGTCAGATTGGGGTGAAGGATACATCAAACATAAACAAGATGAGTTATACAAAGTCCCTTCTGAATTGATTAGTGACATATTTGTTTGTTTATTTTAGGGAAGGGACACAGGAAAAAAACAAAGGCTTCAAACACAATAGTTCATCCCATCCGCCGTCGAACCTAGTAGAAGTCAGTCTTGTAGAGGTAAGCGAGGATGACTTCCCAACCGCAGGACAGAGCAAATGTGGGGAGCGGCGGGAGAAAAGGGGGTGGTGGTGGTGGTGTTGGTGGTGTGGTGTACCCCGATTTTGGGGTAAACCTTACCCCATTACCCCGATTCTGGGGTAACCCTTACCCCTTACCCCAGCTTTGGGGTACCCCTTACCCCGTTTTTGGGGTAGACCTTACCCTTCTCTCAGTATAAACCTTACCCTTGCCCAGATTTCGGGGGTAGCCCTTACCCTGACTGAGGGGTAATCATCACACATATTTTTGGGGTGAAGATAAGAAGTAGAGCGTCATTACAATTTTATATTGAAAAAATAGTTGAAGAAATCATTACTATAGAACATATTACATTTGAAATTTATACATAACAGAAACAATGATTTCATGGTTTAATCATAATATTTAATTATAATATGATTAAACAGTATAAACTTTTATAACCTTTCATTATACTGTAATTTTAACCTATAACAAAATGTCAATAACAAAACATATATCAAAACAAATGCACCACCAAACACCCCAGAACTTGATAATTACTAAAAGGGCTAACTCTTTCAAATGAACAAAATGTTACTCCCCAGAAAATCCACCCCTAACACCCTACAACAAAATATAGGAAGAAATCAAACAAGGGTGTTAAAACGTTGGATAACAACATTTGACCCAATAACCCCAACACTCCTCCCTCTTCCCCCCAGGCCCCCTACTTTTACCATTTTTTTTTTTTTGGGGGGGGGGGGCGGGGGTTGGCATGTGTATATATATATGTAGACTATGCTTATATGCCCCACCCCCCCAAATTGCTTTTTCTGTTTTGAGATTCAAGATTCCTCCAAGATTGTTTCTTCAGAATCTTGAATCTTGAGGAAAGCGTGACCGTAGAGCCACTTTGAGGTACATGGGGCCATCTTTCTCCAGCATCTTGAATCTTGAATCTTATCCACTTGTAGTATGCGATGAACTGTTTTTCGAAGCCAGTTCGGTTTTCCAGAATGCAGCCTGTTCCTAAATATGAGAAGAAGCCACAATCAAAAGAACGTTTCAAGTTCAAACCAAACTCAGCCGCAAGCAACTGCATGTCCTTCTGCATTCAAAGAACAACCATTGAGTTTGCATGTTGAAATTAGGATCAGCGTCCATTTCGAAAGGTGAGTTGCCCTTGTCTATGTCCATGCAATCGTCGCAAACTGAACCCAGCCAATCACAAGAAAGTGTTCCCATAAACATGGATTTGCTCCTTGGCAAAGAAAGCACAATGCGGTATTTTCAGCATGTGTGAGATAATCTTGACTCCCCGCAAAAGAAAGGGCTGCGCATATCATTTTTCCCCTCAAGCTGGCCTGTGAAAGAAATAAACGTTTTTTTTGGGGGTTGGGCTCAAGATCCGAGATTGCACAGTAACAATATCTTTGGAATCTTGATTTCAAGCAACAAGACCAAGTGTTTGAAACGAGTCGCGCATGTTGCAACGTATTCCAGCCACGAAAAAACAAGGTGTAGGGGAGGGTTGTGTTGTCGCTTTTCTTGTTGTCCTTTTTAGTCAGTTTGCCAATATTGGCAAACATGTTGCGCAACATTCGGGAAACGTTGCACAACATTTCCACTGAACCAAAACACCAACAATCCAAAAGCCAAAGCCAATCCTACCACCACCATGGCTTTCAATCTGGGGGAATGGTGCGCAACATTCCCAAAAAACAAATTAGTTCCAGATCTGCTACTTCTTGATCATTTTTCGTGGGAAGCAGGGTGCCAGAAATGATAGTTGTTGGATTGCTTTTGGCTGGATGGTTCTTGGTGGGGAGTACGGCCAAATGCCAGACACACACATACATATCTATATATATATATATGCGTATACACGGGCCAAGACTTATGAGACGCGTCATGGAACTGCGATACCTCATGGGAGAAGAAAACTGATGCGCCCCTGAAACCCCTCTTGCAGGGATTGCAAAGGAAACAAATGCCCTTCAGCGACCAAGATGGCTTGGTGCACAGATCGCCTTTTGAGAGGAAGATTGGGACTTGCATGTGGCAGGAGCCCTGTGCCAGGCCAAGACCACAACAACCTCTTCCACTTCGACCACTTCCACGGCCGCGACCACAACGATGGCATCCACCACCACGAAAACTCCGACACTTGACTCGGACGTTCAGAGGTTGTCCAAGTTCCACGTGTCAAAACATCTTGCTAAGTAAGGTCTGGGGCCGGCAAGCATGGTCATGCACTCTTTCGAGGGAATCAATCGCAGAAGTAAGGATCGCTGTTGGGGAAATGACCATGGCCCACGTCAGGAATTTGTGTGTTGAAACGCCCATGGGGTTCGGGGCCCGGTTCCAGCCCAAACCGAGGAACCTAACTGTTTGCTGGGCGGTTTGCCTGTAGTTTGCATGTCCTGGAGAGCTTTGCCTGGCCTCACCTTCAAACATACCATCAAACGACGTGCTAGTCGTTTTCTCCTTTTGCTTTCGATTCGCTCAAAGGGAAATCCGTGAGGCGGCGCTCTCTGACGTTTTTTCGCGTTTCGTGGGACGGAAATCGCGTCCGCGTCCGCGGGGAAAAAAAATCTGGCGGAGCCCGAGGATTCCTCTGAAGCTTCCGGCGAAGATGCGGGCCGTGCCGGCGCCTCATATCGCGAGCGCCGCATGGGCCGCATGGGCCGCAGGGCGCATGGGTCTCGCGGAGGACATGAGCCACTCGCTGAAGACCGACTCGGGTAGATGAAGGTTAGCAAGGCACAATCCCAAATACAAATAGCGGCCGGATTCTTAAGTCTTGAAGCATGGTTCTGGGGTTACGACCATTTTGATACGAGGTTTTGATTGGGACTCACATGGGGGGAAGGGGCAGGGGCAAGCCACGGGGGGGGGGGAGGGTGTTTGTAACATACGGCCTGAGGAAGTGAGACCATGGGTCAGGGTTCTTGAAGCCTGCAAGCCACTTGCTCAAAACCGATTCGAATAAATTAAGTGTTTTTTCCTCAGAGCTCACAACCATAAATGGGTGCAGCCGACTCGTTACAATTCTTTACATGGTTGTGAGTCATGTGAAATACCGATCGGTTTTGATGATGTGGCTCGTGTCACGCCGTGAAAACAAATCCGGGCGGTGTGCCGAGGGTGGCGCCTCCAAGCTCTTGCCTCAGCCGGTTTTTTGGGTTACCGGAAACCCAGGCCCTGCGGATGACCATTCCCCTGTACGAAAAGCAACAAATCCATGGTTTTGCCAGAGTTGCAAAGTGACATGGACTGGACTGTTACCCACAGGGTTCAAGTTGTTTTCTGGGCTTCCCTAGACCTCTCTAGGCTTCCCGAACGAACCTCAGGCTGGGGGTTCCACAAGCATCGGGTGTTCTGTCAGGCCGCTTCCCCGAGGACCGGCGGCCAGCCCCGGGTGTAACGGGCGCCGTTCGGCTTTTTTTGTTTCGAAATCTGGGGGGGGGTCAAACCTTTCGACTGAATTTCTTTCAAGAAATGTGTGTGGGGGGGGGGGGGACCTTTCCGAAGAGCGCCTTTTTTGGCGCTCGGGTGCTTTGTGCTTCTTTCGAAGAAATGTGGGGTGGGGGGGGTGGGGGTGTCCAGTCCCTTCAAAACGGCCCACGCAAAACACAGCTACGAAGAGGCCTACGAGTCTTGGTGGGCCGGAGCGCTCTCGCAAATGGTTGGTGGGCAGAAACCCCAGGCAAAATGCGTCCCTCATCTCCAAATAGTTTGCTGAATATCTAAAGAAGAATCTGACAGGAAGTACGATTCTCAGAATCCCCCCCCGAAACGGCTGGTTTTTCTCGTGGTTTCCTTTTCAATAACCTGAGAAAAGGTACCCTCAACAAGAAGCACCACAATGGGGGGTTGATCAGGTCCTTTACATGGGATAACCATCACGGAAACCACCAAAAAAGATGACTCTCCCCAATAAATGGGATAAGGAAGCCATGGTCATTTGGGGGCCGAACGGAATATTGATCAACCCCCATATTTCTTGGTGCCGTTCTCTGGCCAAATCATTCCGCAGGACGGCGCAGCGATCAGCTGGCGCCAGACGACGCGCTCAAGCACCACAGCACCTGCCGCGCCGGTGTTCTCGACCCCGACGCTGTGCAGCTTCAGCGCGTCCATCTTTTTTTTGGGGTTTGCAAGGCTCCTTTTTTTTCTTCCTTTTTCTCCCCCGTCTTCCATGCAATTTCTTCTAACCTTGTAAACATCGTTTGCTTTGGTTTCATGGCGCCGGCTTTTGGCCGATCATCTCGCTGGCTCTCTTGGCACAAATTTGTTGCATGCGAATTCTCAGCCAGAAGCTGCCCCCTTGAAGCCCAGGATGCCAAAAAGCTCCCTGAAGATCCCGGCGAACATGCAGCCTGCGCCCGCGCCTCAAAGCAGAGATCTAAGATGGTCCCCGCTGGAAACCCTCACTGCCTCCCCCCAATACCATACCAAGGGGGACGACCACTGGTTGCGCGGTATCAGAACCTGTGCCCCGAATTTTTTGTTGGGCGGGTCGGGGGGAATCTGACCATTCAGTTTCGTTTCTCCTTGCGCGGTTGGCGAATGCCCAGGGGCGGGTCTTCTAGCACCGGTCTCAGAGCGAGCCAACACCTCGCCGTGTTCACCGCTATACTTCCACTTGCCTAAGAATATGTTTTGCTTGCCCCGGTTGGTTTTAAAGGGACTCTATCACTGCTCAACATTTATTGCTTTTTTCCAGGGGGCTTAAGCAAATGGAAGTATACTGTTTCGGAGTCATAGCTTTTTCTCAGGGGAGCTCTTGCAACTGAAAAAAGCGCGAGACTTATACCTCTTACGAAGAAAGTCAAGGCCTCAACAAATGCCATGAGGGAACCTGCAGTGGGAGTTTCCCTTTGAAGTCCCTGTCAAAGCACACTTTAAGGCCGTAGACTGGATGATTTCTGGGCTTTGAACATGAGATCCGAAGTCTGGACCAATCTTAGGCCGCTTCCCAGAGGACCGGGGTGAAGCGGAAGCCATGCCCCGTTTCCGCTGCGCGTGGGCTTCGACCTGGCAGAACACGAGGGATTTGCACATGCTGGCCCCTTGCCCGGCGTTGTCTTCGGCTCGGGAATACGCCATGAAGTTTTTTCGGGGCCATCCTTTTTGAGAGAGCGGCCACCAAAGGGCCCATGTTCAGTTGATGCACAGATGACGTCCAACATTTTGCGGGGCTTCCTGAACTGCGAGGACACCTATGCCGCAAGCTGGCGGGGCAAGGACAGCGATCGGTTTGGTTCGAAGGTTGTTGCATGGCGAAACATGCCACATGGCAGCAGACTCCAAGGCGCCTCGACCAAGGACAAGGCCCACCAGAACAAGGGGGCAATTTGAAAAAAGTAGTGTTCGTTGAAAAGCTGGTTGAAAAGCTGGCGTTTATGCGAGTCTTGATTGAACATATCTTTTTTGAAGCCTTGTTGGATCAGCTCGCCATTCAGTGGTCACGCTTCCCTGTTGGTCCCCGATGACAGGAGCCCGCAGGCGCGGGTTCGTTCTTCGAAGTCCCATGTCGGAGTACCCAGCCCCCAACTCAACCCCCCCACTTGGCCAGGTAGCAAGAGCTTTTTGTGTATGCTGTATAGTTGCTAAGGTGAATGTAGGCAAGGTCAATGCTTTGGCGATGGGTGAACCATTAGTTTCAGCCCCCCCTCCAAGAGATTGGATTGCGTTGGATTGCCCTGGCACCTCGATGAGGTCTTCTTATTTGAGACATGCCTTCGCGGCAACTCTGCCTGTGGGAGGAGCAGTGTCCTCCCCGGCAACCATTTGGAACCATCGGAATCCATCTTGGTCGCCTTTGGTAGCCATAGCCCTGTTCATCGGACCCTATGGCTTTCAAAGATCCGAACAGAATTCAAGCCGACGTCGGCACGCCCGTGCCGGCATGCCGCTCGCGGGAGGCAGTCCTGATCCTTTCGGAGCCAGCATGCCAGCGGCCTCTGTGCCAGCTGGCTCTGTGCCGGCGGCCTCTCTGCCGGCTGGCTCAGTGCCGGCGGCCTCTGTGCCCCCTGGCTTTGTCCCAGCGACAACTGTGCCGGCGGCCTCTCTTCCGGCGGGCTCTGTGCCGGCGGGCTCTGTGCCGGCGGCAACTGTGCCGGCGGCAACTGTGCCGGCGGCAACTGTGCCGGCGGCAACTGTGCCGGCGGGCTCCCTGTCAGGCGGGAACCCGCGAAGTGACGGCAAGCGACTCGCGGACCATTTGTTAGCCTAAGGCTTTGGGCCAACGTCCTGCAACACATTTTAGATTTTCAAGTTTCTCCCAAAAGCAGATCCACTGCAACCACTTCAAAACAAATGAGGTACATGTTTTCTTTGAACCTCGCTGGGTTTCTGCATCTACGTTAGGGTGGCCGCACCCATACTCTTAAAATTGATACGTGGAAAGTCAACTAGGCCTTCCCCCCGGGGAGAGTTCTTGGCAGGGATTCCATTGGAACCAATTTGATGTTGCCAAAGCAAGTTGCGTCCTTTCAAAGGGTAGGGAACTTCCAACGAAAACTCGAAAACTGAAGGGAAACCAGGTCCATGCGAGCGCCAATCATAAACCTTATGACTTGTGAAACCTACCAACGTTGGCTATAAAGATGAAGAGGCTTGCTAGCACCACCTCAAAGTGACTTGTGGACATGGCTCAAACCACTGAATTTTGATGTCCACCATTTCCGGTGTCCAGTCAAATATGGGTCAAACTTAAACCACCAGGAACTGGACCGGTTCTAGGCCTTCCACCAGGGCGAGCCATTTAATCCGCCCATTTTAGGCTACCTATAGTGCTTGGATTGAATCGGATGTCCACTGGGAAAAACCAACCGATTTGGATTTTGCAGGCGAGGAGCTTCAGAAGCTCCAGCAGGTCTTCGACTGGTACAAGGCCCAGGCGGACGCGCAAGACGTGGCCCCGCAGGCCGAGCCCAACCGGAAATCGCTGCGGATATTTCCGGCTTCTGAATTCTTGAAGCCTGGTTCTGGGTAGACCATTTCATGACCGGGTTTTGATTGTGACTCTTGTTGCTTGCCTGAGATGTAGGGATTTCGCTGGAAGGTTGGGGTCCCAGGTGCGGAGAGCAAGGTTGGCTGTGGTGGCTGAGTTTGTGGCACAGGGCGCCAGTTTCTTCAGAGAAGGGTCGGTTTCGCAACATTTGCTGGTTTCCCCAAACGTTGGTTGGCTTCTTAAGCAACATGTTGGGGGCATTTCCCTCCAAAGGGTTTCGTGCCTACAAACCAAGCGCCTGAACACGTAGAGTCTATTTGCACTCAAGAACCGAACAACAAAAAGAGAACAACAATATCGTAGAAGAAGGTGGCCAGGCGAAGCAGACCCGAAGTTTCCATCATACACCCTCCCCATTTTTGTTGGTGGTTTTTCAACTTGGCGGTTCTCGGCAAATCTTTGTTCTTCGGTTTTTAGTTGTTTTTATTTCTTTGGTGGCTGGGTTTCCGTATTTCACCCACTAAAAGTTCGTCACTTTGAGCAGGGGATCAGAAAACAGGCGGCCCAGTTCAGCACCTGAGCCACAATCAGAACCCGAAAAGATGAAGGTTGGTAATGGACGGACAATCCCAACCATAAATAGCTGCGGCCGCCTTCTTAATCCTTTACATGGTTCTGGGTAGACCACTTTATTACCGGGCTTTCATTATGACTCATGCGTCTTGAAGTTTTTCTCCAAAGAGAACGTGTCCCCTCCAAATTTTGGCAGGCGACCAGCTTGCCGCCGAGAGAGAAGACCACAGAGACGACGGAGAAGGAGACGGAGACGACGACGGAGACGGAGACGACGACGGTGACGGAGACGGAGAGGGAGGCCACACTCAAAACCCAGGAAAGTGAAGGTTAAGGGAGGATCCCAGCCATAGCTAGCTGCGGATATCCGCCTTCTCAGTTCTTGAAGCATGGTTCTGGGTCAAGCATTTTTGTGCCGATCGGTCTTGGGAAGGAATTGTTCACCAATCTGCTTCCCGCTGATTGATGATTTGGTGGTTCGGTGGTTTGGTCAGGGAGGGGTTTCCCATATCAAGAAGCAGGGGTTCAAATCCAAATCCAAAACACCAATCAGTGGAAAGCTAACCTTATTTGGTGGTTTGGATTGGTGGTTTGGATTTGGTTTTGCACCCGAGGCTCTTGTGGAGGGTAAATAGGACATGTTTGCGGAACACCACCAAAGCACCAATTGGAGGGAAGCTGAAAAGTGTGTTGCAAGGGTCACAGCATTCAAACCAACCCGCCCAAGGGAAACAGGTTTGAAGCAAGGTCCCAAAAAGCGGGTCCTGAAACTGGAGAGGATTCCTTTTGGAGCGAGCACCAAGGCAACCCGCCGGTTTTTTGGTTACCCCTGGAGCCGGTTTCCTGAACATCTCTAACACTGACTCCCCTAGCCACCAAGCAGGGAAGTCAACAGTTGGTGACATGATACTCTGCGCTTCTCAGCAAAACCTTATGCTATCTATGGGTATTGGCAACCCCTTCCAAACCCTAGGGAGTACATTGGGGTCCGGTGGTTTGCCATGAAAGAATCCCAGCACGAACCATGGCGCCTCAAATTCGGGAACCGCTTACGTGCAGTTTTTTCCTTTGACTTCCCTTTGAATTCGCCACCCCCGCATGGAAGGTCTTCAGATCGAGCCAGTCTGTCGAAGATGTGACTCAGCCGCATGAATCGGCCGAGCTTCCAGTCATGCGCAGCTTGTGAAAGAAATGCAGCGCTGCTGTTAGAAAGCCACTTCTCCTCTGCTTTGCACAGCTGCCTGCACCAGCCAGCACCAGCTACATATCCACAAGAGCTTGCAACACGTCTCATGCACCCAAGTGTGTGCAGAATGTGTGTACTGTGTATATATATATATATATAATGTCGGCCAGGAGTGGAAAACAAACAGCAACTCGTTGTTGTGTTGTGTTTTTTTGCTTTTCCATGTGCAGAAAAAAACAAACCAAAACAAAAACGCATTCGTGTTTGTGGTTCAATTGATTGTATTTTACATAGAACAGCTCAACAACTAAACAAAAAATAGTAGGAATACCAAAAGGAACAAATCATAGATTTCAAGGTTATAATTATGCAACAACCCGTCCTCACCGCGCAACACAAGAGCATGATTTGATTCTGTTCTTTGAGCAAGTGGCGCTGCCCAAAGTTCTCTCAGCAAGCTCTGAGCAAGTGTGTTTGAGCAAGTTCTCTGCATGCTGCTTCCAACACGGCAGTACGCGCCGCGACGATTGGACCTGTGAAAGTGTACGCGTACTGCTCTCACGCTGACCAGTTTCGATGTTCTGGCCGGGGCCGCGCAGGCGTTCTTCGCGCAACTGTTGCACTGCTTTCCTTCACTGCTATTGGGTTGGATCTTTGGACTTTAACTTTTTGGTTGAAATCAAGGGTTTTCCACTAAACCCAGAAACAGAGAAACACTTTTTGCAGTTAACTTTTTGGCTGAAATCAAGGGTTGTCCACCAAACCCAGAAACAGCGAAACACTTTTTGCAATTAACTTTTTGGTTGAAATCAAGGGTTTTCCACTAAACCCAGAAACAGCGAAACACTTTTTGCAGTTAACTTTTTGGCTGAAATCAAGGGTTTTCCACCAAACCCAGAAACAGCGAAACACTTTTTGCAGTTAACTTTTTGGCTGAAATCACGGGTTTGCCACCTAACCCAGAAACAGCGAAACACTTTTTGCAGTTAACTTTTTGGTTGACATCAAGGGTTTGCAACTAAACCCAGAAACAGCGAAGCACTTTTTGCAGTTAACTTGTTGGTTGAAATCAAGGGTTTTCCACTAAACCCAGAAACAGAGAAACACTTTTTGCAGTTAACTTTTTGGTTGAAATCAAGGGTTTTCCACTAAACCCAGAAACAGCGAAACACTCTTTGCAGTTATTTTTTTGGCTGAAATCAAGGGTTTTCCACTAAACCCAGAAACAGCGAAACACTTTTTGCAGTTAACTTTTTGGTTGAAATCAAGGGTTTGCCACCTAACCCAGAAACAGCGAAACACTTTTTGCAGTTAACTTTTTGGTTGAAATCAAGGGTTTTCCACGAAACCCAGAAACAGCGAAACACTTTTTGCAGTTAACTTTTTGGTTGACATCAAGGGTTTTCTACTAAACCCAGAAACAGCGGAACACTTTTTGCAGCTAATTTTTTGGTTGAAATCAAGGGTTTTCCACTAAACCCAGAAACAGCGAAACACTTTTTGCTGTTAACTTTTTGGTTGACATCAAGGGTTTTCCACTAAACCCAGAAACAGCAAAGCACTTTTTGCAGTTAATTTTTTGGTTGAAATCAAGGGTTTTCCACCAAACCCAGAAACAGCGAAACACTTTTTGCAGTTAACTTTTTGGTTGAAATCAAGGGCTTTCTACTAAAGCCAGAAACAGCGAAACACTTTTTGCAGTTAACTTTTTGGATGAAATCAAGGGTTTCCACCAAACCCAGAAACAGCGAAACACTTTTTGCAGTTAACTTTTTGGTTGAAATCAAGGGTTTTCTACTAAACCCAGAAAAAGTGAAAATGTCTTTTTGCAGTTAACTTTTTGGTTGAAATCAAGGGTTTTCTACTACACCCAGAAACAGCGAAACACTTTTTGCAGTTAACTTTTTGGCTGAAATCAAGGGTTTTCCACCAAACCCAGAAACAGCGAAACACTTTTTGCAGTTAACTTTTTGGTTGAAATCAAGGGTTTCCACCAAACCCAGAAACAGCGAAGCACTCGAAGCACTTTTTGCAGTTAACTTTTTGGTTGAAATCAAGGGTTTTCCACAACCCAGAAACAGCGAAACACTTTTTGCAGTTAACTTTTTGGTTGAAATCAAGGGTTTTCCACTAAACCCAGAAACAGCGAAACACTGTTTGCAGTTAACTTTTTGGCTGAAATCAAGGGTTTTCCACTAAACCCAGAAACAGCGAAACTAACTTTTTGCAATTAACTTTTTGGTTGAAATCAAGGGTTTCCACCAAACCCAGAAGCAGCGAACCACTCGAAACACTTTTTGCAGTTAACTTGTTTGTTGAAATCAAGGGTTTTCTACTAAACCCAGAAACAGCGAAACAATTTTTGCAGTTAACTTTTTAGTTGAAATCAAGGGTTTTCCACTAAACCAAGAAACAGCAAAACACTTTTTGCAGTTAACTTTTTGGTTGAAATCAAGGTTTCCACCAAACCCAGAAACAGCGAAGCACTCGAAGCACTTTTTGCAGTTAACTTTTTGGTTGAAATCAAGGGTTTTCTACTAAACCCAGAAAAAGGGAAAATTACTTTTTGCAGTTAACTTGTTGGTTGAAATCAAGGGTTTTTCACCAAACCCGGAAACAGCGAAACACTTTTTGAAGTTAACTTGTTGGTTAAAATCAAGGGTTTTCCACTAAACGCAGAAACAGCGAAACACTTTTTGCAGTTAACTTTTTGGTTGAAATCAATAATTTTCTACTAAACCCAGAAAAAGTGAAAATAACTTTTTGCAGTTAACTTTTTGGTTGAAATCAAGGGTTTTTCCACCAAACCCGGAAACAGCGAAACACTTTTTGAAGTTAACTGGTTGGTTGAAATCAAGGGTTTGCCACCTAACCCAGAAACAGCGAAACACGTTTTGCAGTTAACTTTTTGGTTGACATCAAGGGTTTTCCACTAAACCCAGAAAAAGTGAAAAGAACTTTTTGCAGTTAACTTTTTGGTTGAAATCAAGGGTTTGCCACCTAACCCAGAAACAGCGAAACACTTTTGGCAGTTAACTTTTTGGTTGAAATCAAGGGTTTTCCACCAAACCCGGAAACAGCGAAACACTTTTTGCAGTTAACTTTTTGGTTGACATCAAGGGTTTTCTACTAAACCCAGAAAAAGTGAAAATTACTTTTTGCAGTTAACTTTTTGGTTGAAATCAAGGGTTTGCCACCTAACCCAGAAACAGCGAAACAATTTTTGCAGTTAACTGTTTGGTTGAATTCAAGGGTTTTCCACCAAACCCGGAAACAGCGAAACACTTTTTGAAGTTAACTTTGTGGTTGAAATCAAGGGTTTTCCACCAAACCCAGAAACGGCGAACCACTTTTTGAAGTTAACTTTTTGGTTGAAATCAAGGGTTTGCCACCTAACCCAGAAACAGCGAAACACTTTTTGCAGTTAACTTTTTGGTTGAAATCAAGGGTTTGCCACCTAACCCAGAAACAGCAAAACACTTTTTGCAGTTAACTTTTTGGTTGAAATCAAGGGTTTTCCACCAAACCCGGAAACAGCGAAACACTTTTTGCAGTTGACTTTTTGGTTGACATCAAGGGTTTTCTACTAAACCCAGAAAAAGTGAAAAGAACTTTTTGCAGTTAACTTGTTAATTGAAATCAAGGGTTTTCTACTAAACCCAGAAAAAGTGAAAATTACTTTTTGCAGTTAACTTTTTGGTTGAAATCAAGGGTTTTCCACCAAACCCGGAAACAGCGAAACACTTTTTGAAGTTAACTTTGTGGTTGAAATCAAGGGTTTTCCACCAAACCCAGAAACGGCGAACCACTTTTTGAAGTTAACTTTTTGGTTGAAATCAAGGGTTTGCCACCTAACCCAGAAACAGCGAAACACTTTTTGCAGTTAACTTTTTGGTTGAAATCAAGGGTTTGCCACCTAACCCAGAAACAGCAAAACACTTTTTGCAGTTAACTTTTTGGTTGAAATCAAGGGTTTTCCACCAAACCCGGAAACAGCGAAACACTTTTGCAGTTGACTTTTTGGTTGACATCAAGGGTTTTCTACTAAACCCAGAAAAAGTGAAAAGAACTTTTTGCAGTTAACTTGTTAATTGAAATCAAGGGTTTTCTACTAAACCCAGAAAAAGTGAAAATTACTTTTTGCAGTTAACTTTTTGGTTGAAATCAAGGGTTTTCTACTAAACCCAGAAAAAGTGAAAATTACTTTTTGCAGTTAACTTTTTGGTTGAAATCAAGGGTTTTCTACTAAACCCAGAAAAAGTGAAAATTACTTTTTGCAGTTAACTTTGTGGTTGAAATCAAGGGTTTTCCACCAAACCCAGAAACGGCGAACCACTTTTTGAAGTTAACTTTTTGGTTGAAATCAAGGGTTTGCCACCTAACCCAGAAACAGCGAAACACTTTTTGCAGTTAACTTTTTGGTTGAAATCAAGGGTTTGCCACCTAACCCAGAAACAGCAAAACACTTTTTGCAGTTAACTTTTTGGTTGAAATCAAGGGTTTTCCACCAAACCCGGAAACAGCGAAACACTTTTTGCAGTTGACTTTTTGGTTGACATCAAGGGTTTTCTACTAAACCCAGAAAAAGTGAAAAGAACTTTTTGCAGTTAACTTGTTAATTGAAATCAAGGGTTTTCTACTAAACCCAGAAAAAGTGAAAATTACTTTTTGCAGTTAACTTTTTGGTTGAAATCAAGGGTTTTCTAAACTAAACTTTTTGCAGTTAACTTTTTGGTTGAAATCAAGGGTTTTCTACTAAACCCAGAAAAAGTGAAAATTACTTTTTGCAGTTAACTTTTTGGTTGAAATCAAGGGTTTTCTACTAAACCCAGAAAAAGTGAAAATTACTTTTTGCAGTTAACTTTTTGGTTGAAATCAAGGGTTTTCTACTAAACCCAGAAAAAGTGAAAATTACTTTTTGCAGTTAACTTTTTGGTTGAAATCAAGGGTTTTCCATTAAACCCAGAAAAAGTGAACATTACTTTTTGCAGTTAACTTTTTGGTTGAAATCAAGGGTTTTCTACTAAACCCAGAAAAAGTGAAAATTACTTTTTGCAGTTAACTTTTTGGTTGAAATCAAGGGTTTTCCATTAAACCCAGAAAAAGTGAAAATTACTTTTTGCAGTTAACTTTTTGGTTGAAATCAAGGGTTTTCCATTAAACCCAGAAAAAGTGAAAATTACTTTTTGCAGTTAACTTTTTGGTTGAAATCAAGGGTTTTCCATTAAACCCAGAAAAAGTGAAAATTACTTTTTGCAGTTAACTTTTTGGTTGAAATCAAGGGTTTTCCATTAAACCCAGAAAAAGTGAAAATTACTTTTTGCAGTTAACTTTTTGGTTGAAATCAAGGGTTTTCCATTAAACCCAGAAAAAGTGAAAATTACTTTTTGCAGTTAACTTTTTGGTTGAAATCAAGGGTTTTCCATTAAACCCAGAAAAAGTGAAAATTACTTTTTGCAGTTAACTTTTTGGTTGAAATCAAGGGTTTTCCATTAAACCCAGAAAAAGTGAAAATTACTTTTTGCAGTTAACTTTTTGGTTGAAATCAAGGGTTTTCCATTAAACCCAGAAAAAGTTAGAAAAAAACACCTTTTTGCCGGGGGGTCGTTGCAGCAACCAAGTTTCTATCTAGCCGCATGGGCCCAGCGGAATCCCAGCCTGGAAAGCACCTGGATCGCCAGTTGCGTTTTTTGTTTTTTTCCATGCACTTTACCCCCAAAACCAGCAACAGTGACTGAAAAAAGCGGCAACTTGGCTATCTAGGCAAGCTCTTTCAGCAAGTTCTCAGAGAAAGTTTCTCTATGCAAGTTTCATCTAAGCAAGTTCTCTCAGCAAGTTCGCTGAAGAAGAAGTCCAAGGGATGCCTTCACGATGCCTTCGGGGAAATGCGCAGGGAAAAGGGTGGTCACGCAACATGAAGCCGAAGCCAATCCTGTATAGGCGTCCTTTTTAGGTTAGCTAGATTAGAAATAGATGGGTTCCACTGGTTTAGATTGGTTTTATTCTGTATCCCCTTTCAAAGCCTGAAAATGCCGACAACTGGTTCATCAACCGCCCACCGGACCCCCCTCTGAATCACTCGGGGGGCTCGGCAAAGGCTTCATTTGTCTCATCCATCGCGCGTTTTGCAAGGGGATGCGGGATTTTTGGCGGAGGATGAGAGAGACGAAGCCTCACGAACATTGCGCCAAACCCACATGGCTGTGGGTCAAAATCCCCGTACCCCCAGTGATTATTCCAATCCCCACTAAAATAGGTCGTAAAATGGGTGGTGAATTCACCTACCAACCAAGCCATATATGTCTATATATATATATATGGCAACATCTGGTCACCTGAAGAGTGTCCGAGAATCCCCGTTTTGCATTTGCGCCCCTTGAACAGCCAACTCCATGGAACAGGCTCGTCCTCGTGGTTCCCAAATCAAGAGGACCTCGGCGTGGTTTCCTTGGCGTCTGAGGCCAAGCTGCCCTTCTCGGAGCCCCTCGGTTTCGATTTGGATGGGGGGACAGCGCCCAGCGCGTTTCGCGTTTCGGATCTCCATAGACAACCTCCCAAGTCAAAAAGGTGCTCAGGGGGAGTGAGGGAATGAATGACCATTGTTTTTCGGGATTTTCTCCAGGGAAATCAGAAAAGTTCGAGCCATTTGTCAAGGGAAGCCATTCTCATCCTAGAAGTTGGAGCCACAAAAGTTGAGTCCCAAAAGGGAAGCCGCAAGAGTTGGATTGCTTTTGGTGCCATCCCGTTTTTCTCCGGGGCCCATCTCTCGCATCTCTCGCAAGGCCGGCAAGGCCGGTGAACCGCAGCATGCGCGTGGTCTCCTCCGAGTCTCCGCAGGACAGCTGGAGCTGGACGGAAGGGGCTGGAAGGGGCCGGAAGGGGCTTTTCTAGGGGTTGGTTCCAATTCCACTCTGTTCAACCGTGGTTCTTTCCACACACCGGAGCCGTTTTCCCCGAATTTCCGGTTTCTGGAGGTTTTCTGGAAAGAAGGATCCCCCGGAAAAGAATGGTTGGAAGGTCCCCCTTGAGCTTTCAGTGGAGCGAGTTCTCCAGAAGGTTGATGGAAAGGCTTTCCTGGGATTTTTTGGAGAAGTTGTTTTTCCGAAACGAAAAGGGAACCAAACAAAAAGGGAACGTCCGAAGTGGTGGGGCCAGGAGCCGACGGAGGACGACATCGCCAGGAGTTTGAACCTCACAGGCGGATCGGGATCCGCTGATCCGGCGCCGGATCGGTGGGCTTGGAGGGCTCGCATGGCGGGGCTGAAAGGGGAGGCACCGGAGCCACGTGCTCAAAGTCCCAGCCAGAAATACTTGCGGAGATTTCCGCCTTCTGAATTCTTGAAGCATGGCTCTGGGTAGACCATTTTAATACCGGGTTTTGATTGTGACTCACCTTAAAACGGGTTTGGCGGACGAAAATGCAAAACAAATCAAGCCCGCATGAGCAAAGGTCAAGATTTTCCGTCATCTACGGTGAAAAAAACAAAACAAATAGGACACACGAGCCCCCAGACAGCATGAGGAAGTTTGTAAACGGAGAGTTTTGCAAGGGCATGAATATGGAAGTGATGCCATTTTGGACATGAGTCACAACCGTTTCATTTGGAGGCGGCCGACTCGTTTGGACAGACTCACTCGTAGTGGAAACCAAGAAGGCACCCGAGCATACAGCTTTTTACCCCGCCTCCCCCCCCCCGCCTCTCCCCTCCCCCCTCCCCCCCTGCCCAATTTGCCCGTGGGCCCCAGTAGTTTCGACCAAATTCCGCCGTAGTCCATGCCACTCACTTGCGTAACCTGCCTGCCACTTGGTCGCAGGCTGGCAAGGACGAGTGGAGGTGGTGACGCGCGCCTCGGACGGAACGCACGAGTCTTGCGAGCTCGTTACTTTGGCGGCTTTTGGACCCGGTTGGTTTCCCTTTCCTTTACCACTTGGCAGGTGAACCATGGTAGTTCCATGGGGCCAGTTCTTAGTGCTCGGCCGAGGCAACAACGTCTCGCCATTGATTAGGACCCAACTCCCCCTCGTTCCCATCAAAAAGAAGCTACCCATGATAGTAGTTTGCCATTGTTTCAGTGCCCTGAGCGACGTTTTAACGCCCCTGCATGCTCATGAGGGAAGCAGAATGTCACTTTCCTAGGCTGCGAAAGGGCTAGCGCGAAGGGGTTTTTATTTCAATTCGTACTTGCGAAAAAGGGTCGCTGCTGGCTGGGCCTGTTTGCCTCCATCTGCCAATGCCGGAGCTCAAGGCCTTTCGGCCCATTGAAAGGGATCTGAGACTTGTCAGCCGGGGTCCCATGAAAGTGAGCGTGTTGCATGTTGTTAGGGGGGTTCCTCAAAAATGGGCCCTTTGGGGAGTGGCTCGCCGTGAAATTCCGCGAGGGCTAGTTTTGAGGAAGTCTCTCCAGCGGACCTGGGAACTGAAAGCACCGAACCTTCCGAAAGAAACTTGAGGCGCTGACGGCAGCATCGAAAAGACCACCACAGAAGGCTCGAACGAGGAGGCGGAGGACCCGTCCGGCTCGGTGGGCCCCAAAATGCGCCCCAAAGTTGGGACAGACCCAAGTTGGGGTTGATCAATATTCCCGACAAGGCCCCAAATGACCATGGGTAACTTTTTCCCAGTTTGTGGGACATATCATCTTTTTAGTGGTTTCCCCCACGGTCATCCCATGTAAAGGACCGTTTGATCAACCCCCAATTGAACCTAGGAGACATGAAGCTTAGGGACCACCCTCCGCAAAGATGTGGATCGCTCACCCTTGTGATTCTTTGGTTTTGGGCAGGCCCCCGGATTAGGACTCAAAGCGGCGATCGGGTTCCGCCCCTCTTGGGGGAGTTCCATACTTTGGGAAAACAGTTTGCAGTACGATCAGCAAACAAAGACGAAAGATATGAACCTACGCACTCCAGCAGTCGATTCTTGTTTGATCGGCCAGTTTGGCTGTTCCGCACTTTCTCACTCTTTCAAGGGACCTGTAATAGCAGGGTCGCGTGATGGTACACTTGGCGTTTGAGTATGAGTTACTTCGACAAAATCGTGTACCATCGAAGGATGAGGTGCAAACACACCACAAGCAGGGTGGTTCCTTTCGCCTTTGCTTTAAAACCTTGCCAAAAAGGGACCCCTTGGACATGACTTTGTTTCGCAGCCACCAAAAGCAGGGTGCGGCAAGGAGCACTTTCAACTGGGGTCTTTGGCAGCCTTGAATCCTGGGAACCCCCAGATGGATGCATAGTGCCCTTTGAGTGGGGATCGATCCTTTTAGGCGATGGTATGGAGTAACGGTTAGTTGCTCGGACAGAAGATCTGGTCGCGCCACCCAAGTTGGGCGGGTCTAAAAATCTGCCCAGGTACCACCGGGACCGCTTAGGTTCATCCCGTGGTGAACCTCAAAACCGTGCGACTGAGTGGGGATCCTTTACCGTTGGAGGCAGCACCTCCCCTGTTGATAGGACAGGTTACTAATGCGGGGTCAACATTATCAGGTTTAGACTCATATGGTTACAATTTCTAGTCGAGCCAAACTCAAAAGGGGTCGTGTTCTTACGAAAGCACTAGACAGCCAGTCGAACTTACCCCCCGATTCTGGGACACGACAGTTGGGTCTTTCCTTTCCTGAAAGCTCTTGGGGAATGGCGTTTCTTTTCTTGTGTTTTTGCCATACAAAGGGGGTGACATTTTCACCTGCAGGTGCCCCAAATTTCAGCAAAACTCTTGGGGAACGGAAGCTTTCCCATAAAAAGGGGGTGGCATTTTCACCTGCGGGTCCCCCAAAATTGCTTCAAAACAGTGCTGTGCACTTGGCCCCTTCGGTGGGTATATGGCCTGGCACCTCCTGTTCTTGCGTTTTTGCCATACAAAGGGGGCGACATTTTCACCTGCGGGCGCCCCACATTTTTGCTGCTTGCCCCTTCGGTGGTTTTGGTTTTGGTTCGCCTCGGAGTCCTCGTTCTTTGGGCCCAGGAGGACTCTTCCACGACCTTCATGGTGCCCATCCGGCCGCACCTCGGCGCGAGGGGCCGGCGCGAGTGTGGGGTTTGGGGGGGGGGGGGGGGTAGAAGTCACGCGGAGTTTTTCATGGGCTCAGAGCTCGGCTTCCTTTTGGCAAACAAAAAAGGGCTCAAAAGAGTCTTGAGCCAGAGATGGAGGAGAAGTTCCGGTGTGATTGCAGGCTAGCTTTTCGTTGCGCCAGCGAAGACGAATCTGGCGCATCTGGAATGCGCGGCTGCTTTGGTTCAGGCAACCCTTATAGTTGCTGGTTTAGATTTAGATCTTCAAGAACTCCCTGGTTCTTGTAGAGTGAGGTTGGGGTTTACCCCCAACCTCCACACCGCCAAACCCCCAACCACCGATCCGCTTCGGCTCCAAACGTTCAACGAGCGACCGGACGCTGCTTGCTGCGAAGGCACGGGGCGTCCGACTCCGAGTCCGGCTCCGAGTCCCCGTCGGACGAGTCCCCGCAGGACGTGGTGAAAAAGGCGGGGCTTTCCGCCCGCGCGGCTTTTGCGCCGAGGTCAGAGAGGATTGGTTCAGCGATTTTTTTCAGAGGGGTCCCGGACTTCCCCGAACTTCAGCCCTTGGACACCATAGGCTTGGGCAGTTGCATCTGCCCAAAATTGCAGTTTGGTTTGGTCCCCACGTAGCTGCAACCTTTGAGGGGGGAATCCAGTGACCGTAGTCTACACTCGGCCGGCTGCAATCGTGCCCAGATTCTGCACGATGTGCCGCCCAAAGTGCCTTGGCAAGCAGAAACGCCTCAGCCAAGTGCCTAAAACCCCCACAGGTTTGCAAATTTTCAGCTTTTGTGGGGGGGATGAACCAGCTGTCAATGGACTCGAGGCGCTCCTTTGCTGCCACGTTCCTTTTCCAAGGGTTGTCTTCAAGATCCAAAGTGGGATTGATCAGCCTCGATGGATGTTCAGCCTGAGCTCTTCGATCTTGGCTTTGGGTTGCTCGTCTTTTTGGCTGGCCCCTCCCGCAGAAGAAAGAACACACACACACTTGTGAAGCTCCGTCAGAGCTGCTTCAGATGGGGCCTGGCTTCAGGGAAGCCAAGAAGCGGTTCGCCGTCCCCATTGGCAGTCCACGCCGCGGTTCGCTGGCCGTGCAACCCACAGCCGTTGGCTCTGTGATGGTTAGATTGCCTCATTTTCGTCTAGGGATAATGACAAGTTGCTTTCATCATTGCCTTCTGTGGGTGGGTGGTGCTTACAGGTTGGAGACGTTGGCAACCCTGCGTTGACCTATATACACCATTTGCTGGTCCAAAGATCCTCTGCAACCCCTTTTTGGTGGTCCAAAGACGGTTTTTGCCTCCCTTTGTTTCTTGTGTTAGTTGTGATCTTCTCCTCAGGTAACCTCAGTGGCTTTAAACATCACCTTTTTGGCCTAAGGTGAGTGTCCCTTGGTGGGGGTGATGCTTTGAGGGGAAATATAGGGAGCCCTGTACGGCAAATGGGAAGCCCCTCCGGAACACCACCAAACCGATTCGATTCGCACCAAGTCACGGATCTTAAACGCTCCTAAACCCTCCTAAACCCTCCTAAACCCTCCTAAACAACCAATACTTAACCACCAACACAAATCACCAATCAGAAGAAAGAAGCAGAGGCTTAGGCCCCCTTCCGCGTGATCTCCTCGCCGCGTTTCCTCCGAGCCGCGCCGAGGACCTGCCGTCGCTGGTGGCCCACGCGGTGGCGAAGGTCACGAAGCGCAACTGGCGGGAGGAGCTGCCGCGGGCCGCGGCGCTGGCGGTGGTGCGCCTGGTGGTGGAGCGCCTCGGCGTGCTGCGCGGGGGGCGAAGGGGGGGGTGGGGGGGGGGGGGGTGGTTTTCGGGGGACGTCGCGGTGGGTGGGGGGGGGGGAGGGGCGAGGTGCCGAAGGGACTGTTCGTTTTTGTGGATGGACTTTGAAAGACCTCAAAGATGGTTTTCGGGGCGCTTGTTTTTTTCGGCCCGAGGACCCCGCTCAAGGACTTGCCCGACGCCATCGTCGAGGCCGTGGTGGAGGTGTTGGAGCGCGCCGATCCCCCGGCCCGGCGGCCCAGCGGGTCGCGGGAGCGAGCGGCGGAGTCGTCCTCCGGCGGTTCAAATCTGAAGCCCAAAGCTGCGAGCTGGTGGTTGGGAGGTCCGGCTCCGGCTCCCTCCCCAAAGATGCTAGCTGGTTCGGGAGGTTTTGAGCCGGACTCGGGGGGAACCAAACAACTTTTGCTGTGAAAGAGGGAGCCAGGGAGCTGCCGATCGGAGTTCTGTGAGGATATGGTAGGTTGGCGTTTTTTTTCTTCTGGAGTCCCCGAACAAAAGCTCGTCGTGCCGGTTCTGGGACGTGTTTTGGTTGAGGGCCCAGGCTATGAAGAAGGATCGCCGCCCCTTGTGAGGTTTTGAGATTCAACTATCCCGCACCAAGTGCAGCGCAAGCAAATGTCGAGAATTTGGGGGTGCCTCCTTTGGGAACAACGTATTTCATCCGTAGGAACCTGCAGCATCTGGGGCAAACCCTCACCATGAAGACCAAGCCTTCAACGTTAACAGCAAATCCTCCTTTCTTCGTTGTCTTTATTCAGTGGACCCTCATGAATATTATTTAAATCCAATGATTTATTAAAATATCCGGAAAAAAACACAACAACAACAATATTAAATATTTGAAACATATTTTTCCCCAAAATTAATATACAACCCGTAATATTCAGGAACCAAACAGACACACAAGCTTTCTCTGAAATGGACTTGATCTTCAGCTGGAGCCGGGCAAGGCTGAAAAAGAACAGCCGAGACGTCTTTTTTTGCCAAAAACAAGCCCAGGTGGAGGACGTCACGGCGCAGGCGGTGGACGCCCTTCGGCGAAAAGAAAGAGAAACAAAAACACGTGGCTGTGGTTCTGAAAACCGTTTTGGGATCTCATTTTGGTTGGTAGGTGAATTCACCACCCATTTCGGAACCGACTTTGGTGGTTGGATTGGGATCTTCACTGGGGGTACGATTTGGCTTTTGACCCATGGCGTCGCTTTTGTCGAAACCGTGACTCACTGGCAGAAGCCGCCCAAGTCGGTTCATCTCGGTTCAAAGAGAAGGTCTTCTGACTCTGACCGGACTTGAAAGGGTTTTCCCTTCCTGGTATGTCACCATTTTTCGTGGCCCCGAAAGGTGATCAGCTTTTGGTTCGTCCGAAGTGGTGAAACGAGAGAGTTCTCAAAAAGCCAATTCTGGTCTTAACTTCTCCCCTGAAAATGGTGATGGAAACCCACTCTTCACCCAGTTCAAAGGCTCAAAGCGCGGGCCGGGCTTTTGAAGGTTCTCAGGTATGCCGGCCTGGAAAGGGAGGTTCCGGTGGGCAAGCTGAGGGGCAAGTTTTGGGCGCGGGGTGTTCTGAGGCGCTTTCGGCGCCTTTTGCCTGTTGCGCGTTTTTTGTTTGTTTGTTTGGACGACCAGACGACTTCCCCTCCAAGTTACGATTTTCAGAATCTCATGAGCACTTGCTTTGTCATTGGAGGTCTGGAGCCAAACCGCCCGCCAGCACAAGCTTTCAGATCCATGCGGCCGGTCCGATCTGATCAAACGTGGCATTCGGAATGTTTGTCTTCCAGTTGCTTAAGGTCGAAGATCCTTCGTAGGTAGCCTCTGATTGGTGGCTTGGGTGGTTTGGATTTGGCGAAGCCCTGGTTCTTGTTGAGAGTAATGTTAACCCCGGATTAATAAACCTCCCCTTTTAGTGGGGATTCAGACCACTTTTGGAGGGAGCACCCCCCTTTCTTGTGGGACGGGTTTATTAATCCTGGGTCAACATTAAATGGGACACCACCCCCTATCTTCCAAACCACCGGGCTCCAAATTCGGCTTCGAAGCGGATTGCCGAGCCATGCCTGCCAGGCGAATCAGCAGTTTACTATGGATGTGTTCCCCTCCAAAATGCCAACCCCCGCTAAGCCCAGGGAGAAGCACCTCCCCCAATGAATCTATAGGTGATGAATGCGAAGTCAACCTTAGCCATCTTTGCGGCTGTGTATCTTTTAGAGGGCTCCGGCTCCAACCGATTCTTTCTTTTCTCTCTCTCCTCTCTCTCTCTCTCTCTCTCTCTCTCTCTCTCTCTCTCTCTCTCTCTCTCTCTCTCTCTCTCTCTCTTTTTGTGTTGTTTTGTTTTTTTCCCGGTGGGTTGGTCCTTCTTTCCCTCTGGGCACCCTGGGAGTTGCAAAGCTTCGCCTTCCGCCCACCGCCCTCCGCCTCGAAAAGAAAAGCTCGCGGAGACTTCCCGAGGCGCTGCAGGACATGCTGCGCAGCTACCAGGCGGGGGAGATGGACTCCGTGTCTCAGGTCGTGGCCGGGGGCCCCGGGGGCAGGGCAGGGCCCCAGAGGAGTGGAAGGGGCGCTTGGAGCAACCTGAAGCCTTTTTTAATTATTGTTATTATTATTATTATTATTATTATTACTTTTTTTTTTTTTTTTTTTTTTTTTTTTTTTTTTTTAAATAAGTTTTTCTCTGTTTTATTATTATCGTTATTTTTCATCTCTCTCTCTCTCTCTTTTCTTTGTTTTTTTCGGGGGGGGGGTGTTGATACCTAAGACCAGGTTCCCCCTGGGGTTTTACACCGGAAAAAAAGAGAAGGAGAGAGGCGACCCAAAAAGGGCCGCCCTGCGTTTTGTAGGGTGGGTGAGAGATGTGGTTCTTCCAGCACCCCCCCAATTCGGTGTGATACCGCTTGAGCCACCGAGTCCGGTTCTGAGAACCTTTGTCTGTTGATACGGGGGCTCCAACGAAGAGGTCGAAGGGACGGCAGGCCCGGCAGGTGGTAGGTTTTGGGCCACGTCGAAGCGTCGACTTTTGGAGTTGAAGTCAAACACCTTGGAATCTCCCCAAGACCTAGTTGACCTCTCGCGGGCAAATTCTATGGTTGTGAGCTTGGCACGACGTTCACTGCCATGGTTGGAGCGTGGCATTCCCCAAGGATCGTTGCCAAAAGGGGCCAGGAAGCGCGTACAGGAAGGCATCTCAACGGGTGGAGAACTCCATGAGTTGCCCCAAAAAAAGCAAAGCTGAACCCCCTGGTTTTCTGACCACTGGCCAGGTGATAAATGGGCGCACTTCGCCCATTTCATGCCCCGAGCTCTTTCGGGTGCTGAGGATGAGGCCCTGGAGAGCCACATCCTGGGCAAGGAGCCGGCGGAGCCTAAAGTGCGGTCCGCAGATGAAGCGAGGGTTTGCCATTTGTGGGTCCAATGGGCTCCCATTTTGGGGTAGGTGAATTCACCACCCATTTTAGGCTTCCTATTTTAGTGGTTGGATTGGGAATGTTCACTGGGGGTACGGGCTTTTGCTTGTGACCCATGGCCATTTGTGGATGGCTTCAAAGTATCCGGGGCCCGTCGCCTTGTTTTGGTAGGGACAGTGTCTGCTTGAAAAAAAAGAACACGGGGCCCACGGGGCTCATTTGGCCGTAACCGGGTGCCCGCTGGTGTCGGCGGTCCAGGAAGGGCTCCCGGTTTTGTCGCCATGCGCTTGAGGCAGCAGACCAGAAAGAGCGAGAGAGCCTTGCCCTTGGCACAACTTTGTCATCTTGCCAAGAAGCCTGACTTGATTTGCCAACCCCGTTGCCAACGGAAAAATAGCTGGGGGGGTTCCCCTTGAAAGGGTGGGTTCGGAGATTTTTTAGCTGGCCGGGCCGGTTTGGGGCAGGATTTGACCCATAAGCATTGTGGGTGTGGCTGAAAATTTACCAGCCAGGGGTACGCAGATGTTGGCCTTTGTTTTCATTTACCTTGGGGCCATTTTGGGTACACGTTTTTGAGCCACGGCCTTGGTGTGTGGGATGTGTCTGTAGGCCAAAAGGATTTGATGAAGGTGATCGCGAACATCGCGGCGGAGCACGGGAGCCGCGGGGCTTGGACGAGGGAATGAGAGAATGACCGTCAGAACTCATACACATCTTTGTTTTGCGGCTTCCTGATAAACTTAGAATTAGAAGCCATGTTTCTTCCCGGTTTCCTTGAAAGGAATTGTTCGTTCCCTCATTTCCCTACCTATCGCCCCAGCAAGTTGATCATGACTCGACCGAGGCACGCCGCAGGCAGGTTGGGTGGGTCGTTCTTGCGCTTGTCGAAGCGTCGACGTGTTGCCACAGCGTCGCTTTGCAAATCGATGGCTTCCAGTGGTCACTCTGTTCTTGCGAATCGCATTTTGGTTGCGAAATTGGAGGGATTCCGCGGGTTGCGTGTGGGCGTTGATTGCAAGGTCCGTGATACATGGGATGACCAAAGCGTGAAAAAGCCACAAACAAGATTTGGCTGTGGCTCAAATAAATGTGCCAAAATGTAAATGGAACAAAACCTGCGCAACCCCAGCTGTTGAGTTTTGAGCCACAGCCATTTGATATATCCCGGTAGATTGGAGTTACAGTGACCCTTTTGGGGGCCTCGGGAATCTTGATCAACCCCCATGTCTCCAATTTTTCGGAGGCCAAACTTCAGTTCGGCAACAAAGCGCCGCAGGCGTCCAACCCGAAGATGGACCTTCAAAACCACCTGCCGAAGGCAGCTCGACTCCAGGGAATTCTCTCCAATTCTGTGTCCTCTGCGAGCAAAAATATGGCTGGGGGTCAAAACCAATGATACCATTTTGGGGTAGGTGCACCACCCATTTTAGTCTATTCTAGTGGGGATTGGGATGTTCACTGCGGGATGGCCATATGAAGAAACAAGGCGCACACTGGCATTCAGAGCGCAGATTGGATTGTTTCTGTGGAAGGCTGGAGCTGATGAGACTGACGATGTGCACAGCGAGGCGGCTTGAGGGGTGCAAGCTGGGGGAGAGAGAGAGAGAGAGAGAGAGAGAGGGAGAGAGGGAGAGGGAGAGGGAGAGGGAGAGGGAGAGAGAGAGAGAGAGAGAGAGAGAGAGAGAGAGAGAGAGGGAGAGGGAGAGGCCCAAAATGGTGTCATACTCTTCTCTGTTGTGACATGGTGGTTTGCTTGCTTGCTTGCTTGCTTGCTTTCTCGTTTGTCTGTTGGGCCGGTGGGATGTGAGCGTGCGATTGGCATGGCTGTCCGCCAGGCAGATGTGGACCAGGAAAGCACTGACAGCCTTGGCCTTGGAGGTAGCAGGGTTTGGTTGGTGAACATGAGGAGGCTGCCCATAGGCGTCCTTTTTAGGTTAGTTTAGCTAGAAATAGATGGGTTCCGCCGGTTTAGATTGGCTTCTTTCCATTTACCGGGGAAATCCATCTATTTCGCCAAAAGGACACCTCTGCCAGTTTTGGCGTGGAAAATCAAGGTACGGGCGGAAAGGAGAAGGGCGCGGTCGAGAAGGGCAAACCAGTTCAGCACGGAAGTCGGGCCCTCAGAACATGTGGCGCACCGAAGCCTTTTCCCCGGCCCGCAGCAGCGAAGCGAGTTTTTCGCTGAGGCACGACGCCCAAGGCGCGGGCCGCAGGGGCGGTAGCGCATGTAGAAACTTTGGATGTTAGACTTTAGCTTCTGCCAACTATTGGGTTTTCCGTAGTAAACCGCTAAGAGTTAAGGACTTTCAGCAGGGGTACAGAAAGCGACAGAGGACATGCAGCGATGGCGCGTGAAGGCTGGAGACGCCGCGGAAGAGGATGCTGGCACCACCAACAGCGCAGATCCAGAGGCCGCGCGGTTTGTAGTGCAGGCCAGAAGTGCAGGTCGGCCAAGTATTGGTGTCAGAATAAGCCCTTGTTATTCTTGTGGTTGGTTGATTTGTTGATTTGTTTGTTTACTTGCTTGCTTGCTTGCTTGCTTGCTTGCTCGTTTGTCTGTCTGTCTGTCCTGTCCTGTCCTGTCCTGTCCTGTCCTGTCCTGTCCTGTCCTGTCCTGTCCTGTCCTGTCCTGTCCTGTCCTGTCCTGTCCTGTCCTGTCCTGTCCTGTCCTGTCCTGTCCTGTCCTGTCCTGTCCCTGTCCTCCTGTCCTGTCCTGTCCTGTCCTGTCCTGTCCTGTCCTGTCCTGTCCTGTCCTGTCCTGTCCTGTCCTGTCCTGTCCTGTCCTGTCCTGTCCTGTCCTGTCCTGTCCTGTCCTGTCCTGTCCTGTCCTGTCCTGTCCTGTCCTGTCCTGTCCTGTCCTGTCCTGTCCTGTCCTGTCCTGTCCTGTCCTGTCTGTCTGTTTGTTTGTTGACCGTTGGTGCAGCATGGATGTGTGCTTTGTATAGATGTCAGGCAAGCCAGGGACAAACTGTCCAAGAAGGCTTGGATAGCCCTGGCCTTGGATGGCAAGCTTTGATGCCCTTCACGCGATTTCTGTTCTTGGTGGAGAGCAACGTCAACTTGCGCCAACATGTCTTCCGGCCTTTCCGTGAATGAAGCTTGGACAACTGGTGAGGAAGGAGTGTTTTACTCAGCGGGGTTGCCAGTTTTGGCATCAAAGTGGTGTTGACAGTTTTGACCTGATTGGACGCCAAGGTGAAGAGGAGAAGGGCCAACGTCAAGGCACTCGCCATAGCTCGCAGACACGTGTTGCACACTTTTGGCACATTGCGTCAGCTGGGGTGCCGCAATGTGCTCAGACTTCCTCCCATGCTGCACCTGATTTTCCGACCGTTTCTTTTTGCTTAGGCAAAGCAAAGGCTGGTGGGCCGGGTTTTCACATCACTTTTGCTTTCAACATGGAAGATGCAGGCAGCCATTGAAAGAAGCCAAATTTCCAGCCTTGGCACGGTTGCCCTAGCACTCAATGGAGCCATCCAGATTTTGCCAACCTGACATATTCGGACTACGTGCTTATCCGGCGGATGCAGTGTGAGGGATAAAGCGTGGCATCAAAGAGTGGGGTCGAATACCGGCATGAACACGGGTTCTGGGCTACAGTTTGTCATATGTCAGGCAAGCCAGGAAGAAACTGTCCAAGAAGGCTTCGATAGCCTTGGCCTTGGATGGCAAGCTTGGATGCGCTTCAAGCGATTTCTATTCTTAATAAAAAGCAACGTCAACTTGCGCCAACATGTCGTTCGGCCTTTCAGCGAATGAGGTTTGGACAACTGGTGAAGACATGTTATGTTTTTACTCAGCGGGTTTTCCAGTTTTGGCAGCAAAGTGGCGTTGACAGTTTTGACCTGATTGGACGCCAAGGTGAAGAGGAGAAGGGCCAAAGTCAAGGCACTCGCCATAGCTCGCAGACACGTGTTGCACACTTTTGGCACATTGCGTCAGCTGGGGTGCCGCAATGTGCTCAGACTTCCTCCCATGCTGCACCTGATTTTCCGACCGTTTCTTTTTGCTTAGGCAAAGCAAAGGCTGGTGGGCCGGGTTTTCACATCACTTCTGCTTTCAACATGGAAGATGCAGGCAGCCATTGAAAGAAGGAAAGAAGCCAAATTTCCAGCCTTGCCACGGTTGCCCTAGCACTCAATGGAGCCATCCAGTTTTTGCCCACCTGACATATTCGGACTACATGCTTATCCGTCGGATGCAGTGTGAGGGATAAAGCGTGGCATCAAAGAGTGGGGTCGAATACCGGCATGAACACGGGGTTTGGGCTACAGTTTGTCATATGTCAGGCAAGCCAGGAAGAAACTGTCCAAGAAGGCTTCGATAGCCTTGGCCTTGGATGGCAAGCTTGGCCTTGGATGGCAAGCTTGGATGCGCTTCAAGCGATTTCTATTCTTAATAAAAAGCAACGTCAGCTTGCGCCAACATGTCGTTCGGCCTTTCAGCGAATGAGGTTTGGACAACTGGTGAAGACATGTTATGTTTTTACTCAGCGGGTTTCCAAGTTTTGGCAGCAAAGTGGCGTTGACAGTTTTGACCTGATTGGACGCCAAGGTGAAGAGGAGAAGGGCCAAAGTCAAGGCACTCGCCATAGCTCGCAGACACGTGTTGCACACTTTTGGCACATTGCGTCAGCTGGGGTGCCGCAATGTGCTCAGACTTCCTCCCATGCTGCACCTGATTTTCCGACCGTTTCTTTTTGCTTAGGCAAAGCAAAGGCTGGTGGGCCGGGTTTTCACATCACTTTCGCTTTCAGCATGGAAGATGCAGGCAGCCATTGAAAGAAGCCAAATTTCCAGCCTTGCCACGGTTGCCCTAGCACTCAATGGAGCCATCCAGTTTTTGCCAACCTGACATATTCGGACTACGTGCTTATCCGTCGGATGCAGTGTGAGGGGTAAAGCGTGGCATCAAAGAGTGGGGTCGAATGCCGGCATCAGCAGGAGGCTCTGCAGTTTGTTGTGTCGCCCAAGCCAGGCAGAAACTGACCTGGAAGGCGCTGATAGCCTGGGCCTTGGGCGAGATTTGAGGCAATTTCAGCCTCGCCGTGCGAGATTTGCATGATGTCTGCTGGGCCCCAAAGGTTTTCGGGGCTGTTGGTTTGTTGGTTGCAGGTTGAAGGATTGTTGAAGCAGACATGAGGCTGCTGCCAGTTTTACGGCCAGATTGCAAAATCAAGGTGAAGAGGGTGGCAAGGAGAAGGGCGAGACTGTCGAGGAAGGCAAACCAGTTCACCAGCACGGCCAAAGTCGCGGTCCTCAGAACCTGTGCCTATGAGTCAAAATTAAGCCACCGGGAATTGGACCGCAGGTTTGAGTCCTGTGCTCCATTTACCAGGGTTCCGTTTGGGGTACCTATGTTTGACCCACAGCCATGTCGTGTCGCACAACTTTTCCCCACTGGCCGCAGCGCAAAAGCCTTTTCGCTGAGGCACAACGCCAGAGGCGCGGCCAGGGGCGGTAGCGCATGGAATGCGCATCGGGCCCGCGTGAAGGCTGGAGACACCACGGAAGAGGAGTCTAGCACCACGGAAGAGGATGTTGGCACCAGCCCGGATCAAGAGGCCGCGGCGGTTTTTCATTGTAGTGCATCTGCCAGCCTTTGGCTTTAGCCATGGGCTAGCAGAAGAAATGAGTCGAGTGTCGAAATCAGTTCTTGTGTTTCCTCTAGCTGATATGTTTGTTGCTTGGATGTCGGCCAAGGCAGATGCCAACCAGGAGAGTGGTGACAGCCTTGACCTTGGAATGCGGCGAGACCATGGGCGAATGTGTCATGCCATCTAACATCTAGGCGGGTGGTTTGCGGGGTTGTTCTCGCCTTTGCGAGCAAGGTCACGTGATGAGCGCGGCAAAGACGGCAGTGGTGCATTCGGCAAAGACGGCAGTGGAGCATGCTGGTAGCCATAGTCGCGGGCTGAGTTTCTCAGTGATCTCTGCCAAGTTTGTCGACTTGTGGGTCAATGCCTCACGACTCAGGCGTGACGGCAGAGGCGTGCGTCGCATCGGGTGCATTGCCAATGGCTTGGCGTTGGTTGTTTGTACGGGTCTGGGTCAAAATTAAGCCACCGGGAATTGGACCGCAGGTTTTGGTCCTCGGTTCCATCTACCAGGGCTCCATTTAGGGTAATTTCTGACAGCCATAGGTACTTTCCCTTCAAGCCAACGCAGACTTGGTCAAAAGCAGCGACCACTCAACCTTCTGAACATCGTCAACCTGAACACGGTCGCTGGTTGGCCTTGCCTTTGAGAAAGCTAAGGTGGCCAGGGTGTTGGCAGGCGAAGCAACAGCACCAGGGAATTCGTCACCTGGCGTGTGCATTGATTTGGCCATGGGTCAAAACCCCGCACACCCAGTGAACATCCTAATCCCCACTAAAACAGGCTCAATTCACCACCCCCAAACTGGGATCCCAAAAAGGTGTTGACCAACCCACGGCCATTTGTTCAGGCTTCGGGAAAAGACCCACTGACTCCGATCCGCGACTCCGCGACTCCGCCGCTCTCCCCCGGCTTCGCGGACCCTCGTTTTGGATAGGCCGGAGAGTCTCCGGGCACCGAGGAGGACGACGCGGAGGAGGGGCAGTCTCAGATGCGAAGCCGCAACCAAAATGGGAAAGAACCTGATCTCACCCAGCCAGTGGACACACTTTACACACTTTTCCTTGGTGGCTCTCCCTTTTTACGAGTGGTACCCCAAAAGTGTCACTATTTTTTGGCTGGTCACTGGCCAAGTGAGTGATGAGATGAAGGGAAGTAGGGGCAAATGTCTTGCCGGGTTCCTTTCAAGCAGCACAGGGTGCAAGCCCCGCATGAACGGAGCCTTCTCCCTTCTCCCCTATGTTGCCCTTCCTTGCCTTTGGACTAAACTTAGGGAGGGTTCCTGGTTCTTCCAGTGAAGAACCTGTTCGGACCGGGGGCTTTGGAAGTGACTTGCTGGTCGGTTGGATCAGAAAAAACCCACGAGCTGGGATTTGTTGAAGCCACCTTTGGGTTGCCCACGTCACCCGGTTTGAGGGTCACACTCAGCCCTTCCCCTTCCCCCTTCCGCCAGGCGGAGAGCCCGGCCAAAAGCGGAGGCGGGTCTCTTTTTTTCTGCGGCGAGTGGGGCTGCGTAGAGAAAAATGGAGGTCGCTGAGATGTTCAAATGACAGGTGTAGCCTAAGCTGACTGGAGTTGACCAAACGGCTGCAAAGAAAATACAAAGATTCGGCCTGGCATCCTACTGTGGATGGTTTGCGACATGGCCATTTTTCGCGCCACTTTGACGCCAGGGGAAGCCAGTGTGGGTTGGTATTTACAGGGGGAAAAATCTTCATTCCAGGCTTGCTTAGGTGGATAATACCACATTTCGTCCATCCACAGGGAAAAAAAAGGCCAGGTTGAACCTTTGCATCTTACCTAATGTTTGGTCGGTTTTATCCGTCAGCTCAGGCCACGCCCACCGAAAGCTTGTATGCGTTGCGGGTTTTGTGGCCCCTTTCTCGGCGGGCGCAAGAACGCCAGCTGTGGCAGACGAAGCTCTAGGTGAAACCCACAATCAAAACCCGGGTAGATGATCCGGTTGGTAAGGGGCAGTCGCCGGAAATAGTGGCGGACATCCGCCTTTCTAATTCTTTACATGGTTCTGGGTTCACCAATTTTGTACCAGGTTTTGATTGTGACTCAGGCGAAACCCAGAAGTTCTCACCTAAGCCGGTCGTTTGCCTTGAGCCGGAAGACATCCAAGTCACGTACAGAAGATGGAAGCCGCTCATTGGTTCGCAACCGACTCGGTGGCGTTGTTTTCTTCTTTTTTTTCTGGCAGAAGGGACTGGAGCCACAGGCAGCCACTTCCCTTTTGATGTGGTTCAGGCATCAAACCTTGGGGCCAAGGTGGGTGAAGTCTGGGGTGATGTTTGAAAGGGACATATGTGTCATGGTTAAGGTCTTTTTGGGGCTGGTGATGGCAATCCAGACCCAAACAGAACCCCACCGGCCAATAAAAAAAAAAAAAAAAAAAACATTCGCGCTCCCACCAATTGACATGGAGCCTGACAGGGACTTGGTCCCTTCAAAAGGTCAGTTGTTATAATATGAAAAGCATGTGAGGGTACCAATCTTTCTGGCAAAACATCTACACAAGTCTGTGACTCCTGGCATGTCTTTTTTTTCAAGCCCCATCGAGGAAAGGTCTTGATGGCGCTCGCGGTGTTTCTCGGGAGCCTGGCGTGCCCGGCCGTTTGGGCGAGTGGGTTTTGGTTGGGCGAAGGGGAGGTGGCTTCAAGAATATCACGCCGGTTCAGGGGGCGAGGCACTTTCGAAGAGAGGAGTCCCTTCTTTTTGCCAGAATGAGGGTCTTTGGCCTCCCATGTTGAACCATGAACCCGTGAGCCACCGTTCTTGCTTTGGGGTCAACCTCAAAAACTTGCGGACCCTGGGCGGATTGGTAGCCTTTTGATCCCTTGGCACTTGGCCCTCGGGTTTCATCGATTTGGGGACAACTTTGAGATTCGATGATTGGGGGTCAAAAATGCATACCCAAAATGGCTTGCCCTAGTAAATGAAACCAAAGACTCAAACCTGTGTGTGTTTTTTTTTGGTGGTTGTATTTTGACCCATACCCATTTGATGCATAGGGGCGGCATGCTTGGGCCGTCCTGGTCAGCTGATCATTCATTGCTCGTCAGGGCCTCCGCCCCAAGCAATGTCACAACGAAGCTCAGGGGTTCTGCTCCTGTCCGGTTCCTTTGGTTTTTAGAGGCTTTCAGTTTTGTGGTTGGGTGAAATACGGAAGCTTAGTCACTTATAGCAGCAAGTCAGAAAACGGACAGCCCCGTCCGGTTCCTCAAGCTGTTCGTGTTTTTTTACTTGGCTTAGTGGTTGGTTTCCGTATGGTCGCGTACAAGTTCTGAAAAGAACGGTATCGCCCAAGAATTCAACGGGCAACAAATCCTTTGCACCAAGCTCAGTAGATATGATACGATGAAACAATGGGTAGAAACTTCTTCGAACCCATGCTCAGTAGACATGATTCAAAAATCTTTGAACCAACCGCCGAACAAAAATGATCGGATCATCCTGGCATCCTCAAACCCTTCCACCTTAGCCGCCCCGTAAGCCGCCAAGCAGCCGCCAGCTCATGGCCGTGGCCATCGGCTCGGCCATCTACATGGCCCACCAGCGCCAGACCCGACCCGAGCGCCAGGGCCTGGCCCAGGCGGGGTGAGCCACGCAATGGGCCACATGGACGGGTGGAACGAGGCTATGTCCGTGAGGCTGTGTTTGTGTGTTTGTGCGTGTGTGTGCGTGCGTGCGTGTGTCTGTTTTGGTGGGTTTTCCCTTCCACCTTTTGCGTGCCTGCGGGGGTTGATGGGTTGGTAGGCGAAAGAAGATGTGGCTCCCCGGTGCCCGTTTTTGGCTTCCATGTGTGCTTGAAGACTACTTCCAGCGCGAAAGGTTGACGTGAATCTGCAGATAGGAGCGGAATGCTCAAATTCATGCTGCGCGCATGCGAGAAAGGGTCCAATGCGAAAACACAACTTGGTTTTCATGTGTTTCCGTTTTGCGAGTCTTGCAAAACGGGACTCACTATGTTGAGACAGACTTGATCATGCGTGCTCTCCCGTGCACTTGCGAGGCTGCCGCTGCCGCCAGCCCAGCGCAATGGGAGAGTGCTCATTTGCAGCTGAATCGCCGTACAGTTCCCCCCCATTATGCAGCTGAAACCTCATAAGTCCAGAAACTTATTTGTGATGCATGTTTTTCATGGTACAATCTTAAATTAACTTGATAAATATAAATTATGTATAATATTTAAGCATGAATATCATTATCTTTTTTTGTGAAGTCGACGACAAAACAAAATCATACTCCGAAGGCCATGACAATCAATCGGCAATTCTCACGAATGGCGGCTCGACAAACATCTAGGCGTGTGTTTGCCAGTTCATTCATATGAACATGTTCCCCTCCAAAAGTGGTCTAAATCCCCACTAAACCCGTTGGACATCCCCCCATGAACAAACTGAGGTTTATGAAACACCTGGGGTCAAGCATGACTCGATCCACGAAACTTGGCCGCCCTTTTCCCTGCAAAAAGATGTGGCTGGTGAAAACCAATGGTAGCCTTTGTGGGCTAGGTGCACCACCCATCTTGGGCTAAATTTTCGTGGGGCTTGAGAGGTGCAGGATTTCGACCCCTGGCCAGTGGCAAAGCCGCCCGAAGTCGAGGCCAGCTCCGGCGCGCCGCCCGGAGAGGCGGCGGCCGCTCCAGCCGCGGCCGGAGCCGCAGCTTCCGCTGCGGCGCCTGCGGCGAGTGCGGCGGGGCCCAGAGTGGCCACGGGTCAAATCACAAGCGCTTGGAGGGGTATTTATTTCAGTTTCCCCCCCCCCCCCCCCGTTTTTTTTTTTTGCACCCCATGCGGTGGGTTTAGGGTGGGTTTGGGGTTCGGGTTGATGTGGGGTTGGGTTTGGGGTTAAGGGTAAGGGTTGTAGGGTGGGTTGGCTTAGGGGTTGTGCTGGTTCAGGGTTGGCTTCAGGTTGGTTCAGGGTTGGTTTAGGATGTCTGTTCAGGGTCTGTTTAGGATTGGTTTAGGGTTGGCTTCGTGGGCAGGTGCTGGGGTGCGGGTTCACGGGGTGAAAGGGGTGGGAGTGTGGACTCAAGCGCTTTACGGGCACTTGTGCAAAGCACACGCTGCTTTGGGCTTTGCACTGCTTGCCTGGGCCCTAGGGTTCAACCTATGAAAAGAATGGTTGACCCAATTTGGATGACTATATGAACTTTCATTGTTTCAATGGTGGTTTGAACTCCAGGGGGGTTGGGCTCGTTTTTGGGCACCATTGTGAGCCGTCCTTCGAAGCATAGCAACCCCAAATGACACGCAGGTTTTGGTCCATGCTTCCACTTGCCAGGATTCCATTTTGGGTACCGGTTTTTGAGCCGCAGCCATATCATCAATTTGGTGATTCTCCCCAATGGTCATCCAATGAAAAGGACCTCTTGATCACCCCCCCCCTCTCGCGTGGGGCAAATCCCACCCCACAGCCCCACAGCCCCGCATCGAAGACGTCTGGATTGAGGCGGCCAGTGATGCGCCGGCCGATGCGCAGGCTGGGCCCCGAAAAGGTTTGGACCCGGTATGGGTCTCATAGAAGCTGGGGGTCAATAGACTGGACTGGAAGGTGTGGAACTCTGTCGCAGCACTCCTTTGGTTCTTGAGCGACGCTTTATGCCAGACTGTCGGATGTTTGGCTTCTTGAACTGGGGGAAGCCATTGATTCCGCGGTGCGAGGGCCATTTTCGTGTTGAAAGGGTGTCCGGCTTTAAAGCGCAGGCTCCGACCTTTTCTGGGGCTGATGAGCCAGAGCAGGCGCGCGCGGGCCAGAAGAGGGAAACTGACACCTGGTAAGGGTTTATGATGCCAGGTCGTTGAACAAGGGTTTCCCAATTCCTGACATGATTCAAACAAGCTCAGCCGAGAAACTGACAAGCCACATGTCGATCCTGCGCCAGGCTGCCTCTTCTTGAAGGGATCAATCGCTTCCAACGTGCCGAACTCAACCTCAAACAATCGAATATATATTTTAAGAATTGAACATTAAAATACTGGAAACATGTAAAATTTATGACTTGATATAATTAACCATTTCCAATATAATATATAATAATATTGAAATAATAGATTTGATATAGATATTAATAAATAAATATTTTCATTTTGTTTAAACATAATATATTAAGAAACATAAACACTAAAAAGAAATAGATTGGAATATATATAGATGCATAAAAATAGATAAAGAAACATAGAAAAATAAAATGAAAATGGTTTAGGAAACATAGATAGGGGGGGATAAAGATACGGAGATGTTTAGCACGAAATTTTTGAGAAATTTTGATTCGGATCGAAATTGTTCGAAATTGGTTTGGTAATTTTTTGGAGATTTTGAAGAACTTTGTGGGGATAATAACCGGCAATCTTAGAGTTATGTTGTTGGAAATAACCAAACATTTGGGAAATTTTAGTTGGATTACGAAATGGAAATTCTATTAAAAAATAATTAAAATTTCGGTAAATTTTATTTTTAAATATTTTAAATTATTGAATTAAATTTAAATATATATATTAGTAATGTATTATTAAAATAAAATATAATTTAAATTTATTAAATTAAATATAAAAACACATAATACTATATAATTAGTTATGGTTTATTTTATTATTAGGGATGTTGTGGTGGAGAAAGAGATATCGGCCCGGGGCAGATAAGTGGGGTTCGTCCGTGCGGTTTATCGTCGACCAAGGTTATGGGTATGTTTTAGTATTTCCCTTTTGGTTGTTGTTCTCTGGTATATGGGAAACCCTGATCTTTGGGACCGGGGATTGGTTTGCTTTTGGGGAACCTTTCTTTTGTGGCTTGTTTACCCCAACTTACCCATTGCCTGGGCATAGGCTCGTGCCCGAATCACAAGTTATCAGCCGTAGGACTCGACCCCCACGCTCTTATAGGAGTGTCGTGGATGAAGAGGCTATCCTAGGTGGTCTCCAATTAGGTGAGGACTTGCCGGACTACGATTTCGAGGAATTTGAGGCAGGTTCAGTAGGTCAGGATCGCAGGGGTGATGATCCCGATAGGGATACACCCGGAAGCCGTGGCAGGTACACTGACGATGGAGACGATCGCATTTTCCGTCAGGCCACCGATGATGAGCAAGGACAAAGAGTTCGTCCCGATAGGGGCGGCTCTGATCAGGTTGCAGGCAAGGATATTTAGCTCTCTCTATAGAGGGAATTTCCCAAATGGATTCTATTCCACCTGGTAGGCTCCTAATATTCGTCCGTCCAAGAAACGATCTCGTCCTACGAAGGATTCGAAATCTAAAATGCTGCGTGCAGGCATGTGGCTGCAACATAACAACCCCGCCAGAAGCCAACCAAATCGATGATCAGACAGATGAGCACCAGAAGAAGAAGGAAGGACAGAATCCTATGAAGGATGAGAAACTAGATGAGGAGAAGTATGCAGCGGACATGGTGCACGAGCTCAATGAAAAGACGATATTGCCCATGCAGAACTCCCTATTTCTCAGGATGAGTCCCAAGTTGAGGAGGCAGTTCTACAGGAAAGGAATGTTTGAGTCGACATGGGCCCGTTATGAAAAACCATAAGAAAGCAAGGATCAAATCAGTACACAGATCCTTAATTAGGATATCAACCAAGAAGTATATGAGCAAAAAAAGCTATTAGACAGCATAAGCAAAAAGAGGCACTGGAACAAATTGTGGCCAAGAACACAAATAAGAAGAGGATTGGCAAGGTATTGCTGAAGAGCTCAATGCTAGCAAAAATGAAGAAGATAAAGAAGGTATTAAGCACAGAATCCAACAAGCTATTTCAGCATATGCAGGACATTAAGAAGAAAACATACAATCTAAAGAAGAAGCAGGATGATACATATACAGCAGCCAATGAGAAATTGAAGAAATTAAAGGATATGAAATATTATTCAGCATTAGAAGCAATGCAGGCAATAAATGAGAACAGCAAGTTCTTCAGGGCATCAGATTTGAGCCATAAGGCAAGCATGGAGATCAGGATGGCTGAGACAAGATTAGCACCATGCAGCAAATGCAGATTTCAGACTGGATGCTTGAGGTGCATTGCCATGAAGGCATTTGCCTATTGGATGAAAAAGGAGGCATTCCTCGCAAATAAGGTGCCCAAGATTGAAGGACCAGGGCTAAAAAGGATTGTGGTGGTGGTAGTGGTGGTGGTGGTGGTGATATGGTGGTGGTCGTGGTGGTCATTTGTTACTGCTGTTCTTAGAGGATGGGGGGAGGGGGAGAGGGAGAGAGATGAGCAATGAGAATGATTGTTAACCTTTAAATAAAGATTGATTGAGTGCTAAAAACATGCAAATCCTATGATAAATCAGGTTTCCTTAGCATGATCCCTGGATAAATTCACTATGAAACCATGCAAATTCCATGGGGGATGAGGGTTAGGAGTATTGACCCTGAATAAATATTAGATGCCAGAAGTGTGCAAATCCCATGGTAAATCAAATTTCCCTGGCATAACCCCTGGATAAATTCATTATAAAACCATGTAAATTCCATGGGGGATAAGGGTTGGGAACACTGACCCTGAATAAAGATTAAATACCATACGTATGCAAATCCCATGGTAAATCAGGTTTCGCTGGCATAATCCCTGGAAAAAATCATTATGAAACTATGTAAATTCCATGGGGGATGAGGGTTAGGAGCATTGACCCTGAATAAAGATTAGATGCTAAAAGCATGCAAATCCCATGGTAAATCAGGTTTCCCTAGCATAATCCATGGATAAATTTACTATGAAATCATGCAAATTCCATGGGGGATGAGGGTTAGGAGCTCTGATCCTGAATAAAGATTAGATGCCAGAAGTATGCAAATCCCATGGTAAATCAGGTTTCCCTAGCATAATCCTTGGATACATTCACTATGAATTCATACAAGTTCCATGGGGGGTGAGAGTTGGGAGCATTAACCTTGAATAAAGATTAGATGCCACAAGTATGCAAATCCCATGGTAAATCAAATTCCCTGGCATATTCCCTGGATAAATTCACTATGAAACCATGCAAATTCCATGGGGAGATGAGGGTTAGGAGCACTAATCCTAAATAAAGATTGGATGCCAGAAGCATGCAAATCCCATGGTAAATCAAATTTCCCTGGTATAATCCCTGGATAAATTCACTATGAAACTATGTAAATTCCATGGGGGATGAGAGTTGGGAGTATTGACTCCTGAATAAAGATTGGATGCTAGAAGCATGCAAATCCCATGGCAAATCAAATTTCCTTGGCATAATCCTTGGATAAATTCATTATAAAACCATGTAATTTCCATAAGGGATAAGGGTTGGGAGCACTGACCCTAAATAAAGATTGGATGCCAGAAGCATGCAAATCCTATGGTAAATCAAATTTCCCTGGCATGATCCCTGGATACATTTATTATGACACCATGTAAATTCCATAAAGGATGAGGGTTAGGAGCACTGACCTTGAATACAGATTAAAAGCATGCAAATCCTATGGTAAATCAAGTTTCCCTGGCATAATCCCTGGATAAATTCATTATGAAACCATGCAAATTCCATGGGGGATAAGGGTTGGGAGCACTAACCCTAAATAAAGATTAGATACCAGAAGAATGCAAATCCCATGGTAAATCAGGTTTCCTTAGCATAATCCCTGGATAAACTCATTATAAAACTATGCAAATTCCATAAGGGATAAAGATTAGGAGCATTGACCCTAAATAAAAATTCGATGCCAAAAGAATGCAAATCGCATAGCAAATCGCATGGAACATCAGGTTTCCCTGGCATAATCCTTGGATAAATTCATTATAAAACCATGCAAATTCCATGGGGGATAAGGGTTAGGAGCATTGATCCTGAATAAAGATTAGATGCCAGAAGCATACAAATCCCATAATAAATCAAATTTCCCTGGCATAATTCCTGGATAAATTCACTATGAAATCATGTAAATTCCATGGGGGATGAGGGTTGGGAGCACCGATCCTAAATACAGATTCGATGCCAAAAACATACAAATCCAATTACACCAGCATAAACCCCAGATAGCACACCACGGATACGAACCATAACGCAGCATTATCATGATGATGTAGACCATAATGACACCACAGCCACGAAACAAACGCGCAGACAACGTCCTAATGAGATCAGCAGCATAATGATGATTTTGAGAGCAATCCGGCAGGAAAAAGCAAAAACGAGGTCCTAATGAGTTCGACAGCATCATGATGATGCGGACAGCATCATGATGATGCGGACAGCATCATGGTGATGCGAACAGCATCATGCTGATGGTAAAGGCAGCATCATGATAATACCATAGCCACGAACCATCTTGCGATAGCTTCATGAAATTCTGCATCATCCTGATGTTGACAGCATCACGGCGCCACTACACCCACACACCATAACGTGGGAACATCATGGCGACACACCAGCCACAAACCGTTACACGCGAACAACATCCACCAGCGCCCCAAACATGCCCCCTAGCACCCGGTACAACCAAAGCAGCATCCACCCGCGCCTCAAACTACATGCCCCTTAGCACCCGGCCGTCAAGCTCGCAAAGCAGCATCCACCAGCACCCAAACTACATGCCCCCTATAACCGGCCGTCAAGCTCGCAAAACAGCATCCACCAGCGCCCCAAACTGCATGCCCCCTAGCACCCGGCCAGCTCGCAAAACAGCGTCCACCAGCAGCCCAAACTGCATGCCCCCCAGCACCCGGCCGTCAAGCTCGCAAAACAGCATCCACCAGCACCCCAAACTGCATGCCCCTAGCACCCGGCCAGCTCGAAAAACAAAACAGCATCCACCAGCACCCCAAACTGCATGCCCCCAGCACCCAGCCGTCAAGCTCGCAAAACAGCATCCACCAGCACCCGAAACTGCATGCCGCTCGCCGGCCAGCTCGCAAACCAGCAGCCCCCCACCCGGCCGTCAAGCTCGCAAAGCAGCATCTACCAGCACCCCAAACTGCATGCCCCCTAGCACCCGGCCAGCTCGCAAAAC